CAGTTGTGTTCGTGTTTCTAATGATAAGCGCGTTCATACTTTGAAATCGCGCGATTGGATGCCGCGATCGCGAAGTATGAACGCGCTCTCTGTCTAACACAGAACTGGGCGACAGTTGTCTCGAGGGGAAGTGACCCATTCTGCGCAATGTTCGAATGCCACGCCTACTCCGTCTCATAGATAAGAAGCGCAATTCTCCCAAAAGCCCGATTCGCCACCGCGTCAGCGGATAGTCGGTTATTAGTGCTATGGTACTGGAAAATAAAGTTGGCACTTCTTAAAAAAACCACTAACAGACTTTTCTCATGGTCAGTACACACGGTGGTGGATCAGGTCTCTGGTCGAAACGGTCGGACCATCATCAAAAAGTTGGTGCAGTTTGGCGACGCGGGGGAGCACTTTGCACTTGCTCTGCTTCAGTGGTTCGGACTACAAGTCTCACACTAGTGGAACGTATGAACTCATGTGAAATTAGATCAAGCTCGTTGAGCCACCTGGTAAAGGCTCTAGATGGGTCCACACGTCGATGGAAAGTAGCAGAAGTGCAAAATGTGCCCCCTGCCCCGTAAACCGCCCCGAAACTTTTACCTAACAATCTTACTGGCACAAACGGAAACCATCGACCACCTCAGTCGAATTTCAGTGATGATTCACCAAGTGGAAAGGTGCATGCACTGCTGGTGGCCGGATCCAATGGATGGTGGAATTATCGTCATCAGGTTGAATTCTTTCTGGTTTTTGATTGAAAGAACACCTTGGAATGAGAAAATTCATCCGACACTGCCCGAGGTCTTGAACGTACCAAACGAGCTTTATTTCTTTCAAGATAAGTCATGGGTGTCTTATAGTGCTGGGTGTGATCAGGTTCGGAAGATCACCTTAGGTTGATACCGCGGCATGGATTGTTTTGCGATTCCGCTGGCAGTCCATCTGTACGTATGGATGTGCAGCTGCGGAAATAACCTTGAAACAAGCCAGAAAATCTCGTTTCAAACAGTTCTGAAGCGCTTATTCGACAACGAAACAGCAGAAAGGGAAGCAGATAGCGAGAACTCAACAAGAAAAACCCGATCAGCGCTTTGAACTCGGTTCGCTTACTACCGGACTTGATTAGAGCCTTCATCATCCATGGAATCGACTCCCAGGAGCTTCAAGGGTATCCACGGATATTCAACTCCAAATTCCCTAGAATCATGAAGTGCCCACTCGTGGCTGGTGTTACTTTTTCTTTTGTTTGGTACTCCCAAGTCACCTCAAAGATCCTGGTTAGGCTGATGACTTTCACTGGGTCATCTTGTCATCCTGATGCTGATCTTGGGTGTCGACACCACAGGCATACTGTACCGATATCCACGATATTTCGGTACAAAAGTCAGGGAACATTAAAAAAAACTAAGTGAAAATTACGATTTTTGGCTTGACGTTGTTCAGAGATTTTTTTCAGGCAGCTGTATGAAAATCCTATCCTCTCCTCACCATTCACTTGCCCCCTATGCCCCTTGTCCGGACGCCCTACAGTCACGCTCAGCTCGTGCAATCCCGAATGGTTTCCTTATATAGCGGTGGAGGGGAGGTGCAATCACAGAGGATCTGCAAGCAACAGTACCCGTGATCTCCGTATTTCTGGCCTATGAGTCCTTCACGAAGCCCACAGAAGCATATTGAGGTAGGGACATGACCTTCTCCCCGAGCAGTCGGGCCAAGTCGCAACAGCGCGGAGTGGTTTGGCGAAAGCCAGCCCTTTCCCATCTCACTGAATATCCCCCAAAGCGCCAGCGATAGCTGAAAGGGATTGGGCCCTGCCAAAACCACTCACAAGCCGCCCCGGCCTTACCAATATGATAATCGACTGTGCCACGGAACAACCTAAATACGACAAATTAATGGTTCACTATACAATAGGGTAGATTCGCAGCAGACTAGAAATTATTGTATCTCTCAATTCCTCAAGTAACACAATCTGAACCGCGTGGAGCTTCTTTGCTATACGTAGCCGCGTGACACACATGGTGTGTCATGCCAGCGTTGTCTAACAAAATGTCACTGCCACACGTTAACGCCGAAACAGGCATCGTTTCGGAGACATTTTAAACATGTCATTCAGGCTGATGTTGCCCACGCATATCACATTTTGCTGAACCATGGATTCGAAAAGGAGAATATTATCGTTATGATGTACGACGACATCGCCAATAACACTGAGTACGTCTGGTAGTTGACAATTCTTACGAGCGATTTTTGAAGCGATGCCATGTCATTGGGTGATGCGACCACACAAACTATAAATCGATAGAATCTCATGACCCAAAAATCCCATCCTGGGTCTGCAGCAGGTGGTGGTACACACTGCCCTAGTTGCGCTTCCTAGTAATGTCCTTCACATGGCTAATCGTTTGCAGGATACTGTCCTCTACTCCATTGTGCTCTATGTTGCTGGGATATAAGAAGCACTTATTTGCAAGCTCGCACACTATAACGCGCGTGGAAAAAGTCTAGGGTGGCGCCATTTTTTCCTGCATATTTCAACCTACTGACTGGTTTCCAAACACTTTTTATTCCGTGTTACTTTGTGTGAATAAGAGGTGGAGATGGTGTAGCAAGTGCAAATGGTACCGCTTCCCACGCCCAGATCAACGACGCCCTCTACACCCTGATTACGGTCAAATGGTACCAAATTCCATCTGGGAGGATAAGAACACTGACTTGTACATCGGCTGGCCCCCGCAAGTCATTGTATAGGCCACATCGCATTCAATAAGCCACTACGATTCTGAATGGAAGTAGAATGCGTGCCGCATCTCTAAAAGGGGTTTATAAACAGATGAGGCTTCATCCTTCATCTTTTAAAAGCGAATGGCACGATAGATCGACAAAGCGTGCAGGGTCGATACTCCTAGCACGGAAGAATACTGGGCCTTTTAGCAGGAGCTGCGCGGCGTCTTTTCCAACGGAGGGCACTGTTACAATTCTAACCAAAGTGCAACATGTTTACCGAGACGCCCACCACAACCGCCCGCCCACAAACGGCCGCACAGTCGCATCGAAGCTGCTACTCATGTTGCTTAAAGGCACGGTCCGCGATAAAAAGCCTAGGTGATTTTGCAGAAATGTGGAAGAAAATTCGCCAAGTGAACCATCTATGAAGAGAAAATGCCAAAGGGAACGTTGGAAACGCATTCGTCAGGCCTCCTCTAGCCTCAAACAACTGTAGAGGAGGTAAAAGACCGCGCGCTGGGACGATTCCCGTCGGCTGATTCCCAGTAATGAACCCTATGACTCTACAAGAGACATTGAATGCATCCACTCCATGATACTTGCCCGGGAGCATTACTTTTGGCTGGAAGGCCGACTTTGGAGGCGGAGTCACAGGGAAAAGGGATGTACAACTGCGCCTTAATTCCTTTACCGTACAACTTTCCGCCTGGCACAGGATGACCTTTCCTCCGCACTAACTTCCCACATAACCCTTTTATTAGGTTGTCCGGAAAGGAATGCGCGTTGAATTTTTTGAACTTGTCCATTTTTTTCTCTCCTACTATAGAAGATTTTTGGAGACAGTTTTGTCTATTAGAAAGAGATTTTTATTGTGCTTCTTTTGATATATTTTTGTCCATGTCTACTTTGCTTTTTTTGGGGAAAAAAGTTGGGAAGAGCGGGTGCCGCACCAGCTGAGCGACGCAAACAAGGCAACACGAGTGGCAATGGCCGGAATTCTTCTTCGTCGCTCCAAGAACAGCGGTTTTTTCGACTCTATTATTACATCAAATGAGAAAAGGGTCTGCTTCGATAACGCAACGAGAAAAGGGACAGTGTTAGACCCTCCAGTGACTCCGAAACCTGATAAGAACCTGATATACGCGGCAAAAAGGTGATGCTCCGTGTTGGTGGAATAGCAAAGGTTTGATGTACTTTGAAGTTCCGGAATCGGGTCAGACGGTTACGGCGGACATCTGCAAACACCAGTTGAACCGCATGGATCCAGCACTGCGTCTTCAAAGTGTCGAAACGACGTCGACAAAATTTATCCACGACAACGCTCATCCACATGTGGCGAAAATCACTCTAGAAAAAAATTGAGGAATTGGGCTGGAAAGTCCTGCCTCATCCGCCACACAGATCAGACCTGGCACCATCGATTACCATCTGTTCCGGTCGATGCAGAACTCCCTGGCCGAGAGAAAATTCACAAACCGCGAAAAAGGTCCAACTCTGGGTGTCCAACTTCTTTGAGTCGCAGCCGGTCGAGTTCTTCAGAAGAGGAATCCATTTTTGCATAAATGTTGACAACAAGTCATTGATACTAATGGAGATTGTCTTTTGAATTTATCTTGTTTAATTTCGTTTTTATAATAAAAAATTTTTTAAGCTCGAACGCGCATTCCTTTCCGACACGCCTAATTTTCATAGGTCATCGCGGAGCGCTCCTTTGAATATGAAGTACAAATGATAAGCCTCATGCTCTAGAAAGTAGGATAATAATGTTCGTGGTGTTCACGGGGAGGTCGGTGATAAGCTCTTTAGTCAAACCCCCTGATGACTGGTACCGGTGGTCAACGCCCTCAATTTTTCCAGACCGGGGATAGTGGAAAATATTTAAGACTCAGGAATCCATATCCGGGAGAGCTTTACAACTCTCCCAATAAGAGGAATGTCTACGATGAATTCTTTGACTCAGGAATCCATATCCGGGAGAGCTCTACAACTCCCCCAATAAGAGGAATGTCTACGAAGGCTTGGAGATTGACTATAAGGTGAGTGAGGGATATGGTCTCTTGATATTGGAGTTCTACAGTATATTATCTAATTATATTGAATAGGGTGATGCAGTCACCTCATGGAATTTCCTAGCTGTTCTTAGAGGAGACGCAAAAGCTGTGAAGGGCGGAAATGGTCGTGTTATTAACAGGCAAGCAGTGCTTATTCGGTAAATTACCAGCAATCCGATAGATAGTCAATTGCAGCACAAGCGACGACCGAATCTTCGTCTACTTCTCCGATCACGGAAGTACAGGTCTCATTGCCTTCCCCGTTGGTAGGGTGAGTATCTAACATTTTTTCAGAGTAATGTGAAGGGCTTCCCGGGGTTTCTTGGTTGCAGAAGACACCGGGAACGTATTCACAGTAATAATCCCTGCAAATGGAGGGGCGTAGGACAAGGTAATGGTTGGAGCACAGCCAGGGCAGAGCAGAGCGATAACTGCGCTCCAAACCGCGTCGTGTCACACGCCCTATCATTTGCAGGAATCATGACTGTACAGTATTGGCCGATGCCGCTCTGGTAGGATATTGCCATTTTGGGACATTTCTCAGAACGTCTTTGCCCCAGCTAAGGCTAGCTGACGCTTGACACATAGTGAAATATCCCACGAAAAACACCGTATTCGAACGAGATACACAGCCACGCCCTCCGCATTGGCGGGATATGGAGTGCACAAGAAACAGAACGATCGCCAGCCTCGCCTATATCATCGATGGGAAAGACTTCGGTTCACAAATAACAGGTTCTAAAGAATACCGTAACCATCCGATGGAGAGCGGGCCGCCATTTCAAGGGAACTGAGCGCCCAAATACAGGGCGAATCTGCCAGTATCATATCTTGAGGGTTACTTACCTGGTTTCCACAGCAACCAGTAATCCTGAGGGTACGAGAAATTAGCGAGATGAAGTTTGAACCTCAATATTGATAAGCTCCGACATTTCAGTTGACAGCAAAGCGACTCAACGAAGCTCTGCTGACCATGCATAAACAACATCGATTCAAACAGCTGGTATTCTATTTGGAGGCATGTGAAAGTGGTTCTATGTTTAAAGACATCCTGAGGAAAAACATCAACGGTACGTTGGAGAACGATATAACCTCCTCAGTCAAAATTGCGGACTTTCGAGAATCTTGAACCTTGACATGCACGAGGTAAAGGAGTCCACAGCTATAGAATCCGTCTCTCGGAAGTGCACCGAAAAGCGGCTGGAGGCTAGTGGTAGCCAGATGCCGTTCCACACTCCACTCACAGATAAGCACGCAGACGCACCCGTGCGACCGGAGCTGCACTAAAGTGTAGCCAAAGGCGCATGTTGTTTTCGCCCTCTCCGTTTGCTTACCCGGCCGGCTTAATCTCCTCACCCGGCCGCGGTAGGCAGTTTGCCTTTTATGAGGGACCTCGGCATTGATGCTTATGACGCACGTTGTGGATGCAGAGTGGAGTGGTACGGCTTTCATCCCTCACAACCCTCCAGCTTCATTCCTCACAGCCCTCCGTGCACTTTCATGCGATAAAAGTTACGCATTTCTAGAGACGTGGGCCCATCTACCTCACACATGGCAAGGACCAGGATCTTTGTGGGTGTCTGTGGACAGCATATCTCTGAAATAAGAACCATTTTTACTGTCACCTTCGTCCTGGTCCTTGCCATGTGTGGGGAAGATGTGTCCGCAACTGCGGCGGTTTGCCACCTTCTCAAAAGGGCACGAGAAGAAGGATCGCGAATAGAGATACTAGGGTGGCCTATCCATACTCCGCCACTGCTGCCGCACAGCCAGTTACCGCCCAATCGCAATTCCTATTAATCTCTTATTCACCGTTCTAGCGCCATGTTGCTCGTTAGGGTTCATTCTGGATGTGGAGTCACTTCCGAGCTCCCAAACGCGCTACTCGTCTATACTTTCTTAGTTCTGGTTGTTCTCTATCGCTGTGCGTTTCGCTGCGGGACCTTGGCATCATCCCAAGTGCTGCAGTCTAAGAATAGCACGGAAGGAGTAAGGAGGCGGCATCCGGGAAGCACTACCCACAGCCCCACTCGCCTCGCACATAGAAAGGACCGTCCTTAGGGATGAGTGCAGTCTATACTCTATTGAAATAGCTCTCACGAGTGTTGAGCAATTTACTTCAGTCTATGCAGTCACTGCAGCCAATGAAGAGGAGTCATCATATGCCGCTTACTGCGATAATACCTGGATTTACCATGTCTCGGAGATGAGTTTTCAGTGAACTGGATGGAAGACACTGACGCGGTACCGTTACGCCTTTTCTTTCTTTGGTCCTCTCTGAGGAATTATCTAAGGCAGCGTTCAGACTTCGCGACGGCAGCGTCGGTCGCGCGTTCGACGCGATCGATGCGCATGCTTTCAACTGCATCGATCGCGTCGAACGCGCGACCGAAGCGCTGCCGTCGCGAAGTCTGAACGCTGCCTGAGCGATTATCTAACTAGGGAAGGTCGTCAGGTCGAAGTGGCCATTTGTAATGAGATGTAGCTCACTAGACGTGGTTTTGGACGCTGATCTCGAATCTGCCTTCGAAATTTGCAGAAGCGATTCTCTGAACGGAATTATGAAGGTTTGTTAGAATTGAAGGAAAACGGAGTCAGAGCGCGGTTGCCACCCAGTCGCCATGAATATGTCGGGAAGCAGCTCCAGGATTTGAGCGGACGCCCAATTGGTGTAATGATAAATGGTTTTTACGTGATGCCATGAAAAGGGTTCGCGATGTTCTGGGAGGCGGGGCTTCTTCTGAGGCAATTCGTGCGGAAATGTTCTCTTTTGAAGTTCTAGAAAACACGTGGAACGCCGAATGGGTGCCTATATTCGTCGTGCAGGGAGCGCGACTGCCTTTGTACCAGTTCTACGCCAGGCCTGTGATTTAACCTTAACCTTTGAACAATGGGCAGTAAACCAGTTGATCGAAAGATGGTCCCCATAGTTCCAGGGCCAGCCTCTTGTCAATTGCTTGTCTTTGGACGGAATTTGCTTTTGGATACCAGGAAAACTGGAGCAGTAACAACATGAATGCGTAAGAAGTGGGCGGAAAGGAGCTTTGTGCAGGAGAATGTGTTTGCAGGCTGACTAGTGTGCACAATCAAATTGCACAAAGCCCACGAATGCTTTATTTCGAAGCTCAAGGTCCAAAATGCGCAGAGTTTGGCTAAACCTGAGTAGCACAGGTATTTTGACGCCCGCTGAAGCCACAATATGACACTCGCTGAAGCGGCCGAAAATTCCGACTATTCAACCTATTCACTACCGCGCAGGTTTGCGAAACAGGCAGATCTTGATCGCTTTTTCCTACGGAGGCTAGATTCGCTGAAATTATTCGGATTCCAGGATAGCTCCACCTAGTACAAGCAGAATATTCATATCCTTTGACGTGAAGTGTCCTGGAGCCCGCGCCACAGGCGCCAGTAATTTGGGACATTTTGGCGCCGGGGCCTGTGCCCCGGGCGCCAGGCAATTTCGGGAGGAGCGAATATGATATTCGCTGTCAGGAGGTCAAATACCCCTAGAACCAACTTTTCAGGCGCAAACTAACGCCGAGCATGAAAAAAGTCGATCAGATCCGGCCCTTTTTCGGAAAATTGGGGTAGGTAATAGGTTAATAGTGCCAAATTCCTAGTAATCGTGCCACGAAGGGCAGGGTACGCCCCAGCATTTTCTCGCACATACAAGGCTCTATACCAAGAGGGGGCCCGAGCGCCTCGGGTATGAGTTCGTTGAGGAGGAGCCCAAGTGCTGTAATCAATGACGCAAAACTTTTCTTTCAAGGCGTGGTCTTGGGTGAGGCACTGGAGTAGTAGTGACGGAAACCACTTCTTGCCACGTTTGCGCAATAAGCGAAAAAAGTTAAGCTCAGCAGGGATCCGATCCCACGACCTGTTGCGTGGTAAACGCGGTGGAAAAAGCTCCATAACTCCGTTCAGAGAATCGCTTTGCAAATTTCGAAGGCAGATTCGAGATCAGCGTCCAAAACCACGTCTAGTGAGCTACATCTCATTACAAATGGCCACTTCGACCTGACGACCTTCCCTAGTAAGATTGACCCATCATTCTTGGCTGAATACTTGTGACTGGGAACTTTCTTCTCGACACTTCACATACTATATCCCTTGCTATCTGACGGAGGGCCATATGTTAATATTTTCAGGAAGATACCATTGTAGAGACACTCGACGAGCAGTACCAGTTCGTAAGGGATGTAACAGAGGGATCTCATGTGATGAACTACGGTAATCTGAGCATAGCTAACGAACCAGTGGGATGGTTCCTAGGCACCAAGAATCCTTACATGAAAAGCGAGAGCAGCAAGGTGAGGCTGTTGGTAAGTTGAAACTTATTGGCCACCAAAGTGTGACCAAATTACAAATTCAGTAAAGTGAGACCGTCAGACCACTGGTCAGATGAATACAGTACCTCAGAACTGCGCGTAAAACTGACTGCCTAGGAGCAGCTACTGCACACAGCACCACTGAGTTTACGTCTAGGCATCTCGTGGCCATGTGGAGAGCGGGATCAGCGCCGCTCTCGCTTACTGGCCTCGCCTCGAGATGCTCCCCCTCCTAGGTTTTGCAGAATGGATATAACACTGGGGGGGGGTGACCGAACCAGCTTACGGTATGCTCAGTTGTGTGCGGAGTCGACACATTCAGTTTTACGAGCTGTTCTGGGGGATACGGTATCTGTCTGTTTTCCTGAACTTGTAATCATGTCAAACTTCGTTATAAAGCAACTGAGTAGCGGGTCTCTCGAATATTGACGCTTTGAGAAAGGTAAGTTATTATCAGACTCAATAAGTTTAGAATTTCAGCCTAAACACAAGAAAGTGTTATGGCCGTCGAGAGATGTTGAACTCATGCACCTGGAAAAGATCAAGCTGCTTCACCCACAGTCAGCCGCTGTCGATCTTGAAATCAGTCGAATTAAAAAGGTGAGCTTTCTGGAAGAGCATGCTGATACTGAATAGGAACCGTCTCGGCTTCGCGTCTGCCAAGCTCAGAAGCCAATGAGAACAATTTCACATTCCTGGAAGAAATTTGAGGTAGAGACGCTAAACAATGCGACGGTAAAGCAAAAACGGGAAGAAACGGCTAGTCGTGCACAGCAAGGTACCTGCTCCCCTTCAAGTTGAGAACTGGACTAGCACACGGCCAAGATACGGAATGCGGGCGAGTTCACAGCTAGGACCATGTTCAGACCAGTACCCCGACGGCAGTTGAGAAGTAACCGTGAAAAGGCTCAACTT